TTGTTACTACTAGTAAGGCACTTGTTACTAGTAGCGATGCACTTGTTACTAGTTGAAGTTGAAGAACGTATTTTCACAAGAAAATGCATTCTTGTTGGTACTCCACGACCTGCTTCCGATGGTTTTCAACGGCTTGTCTTTCTTCCTCAGCCGTCACTTAAACGAAAACTAAGGTGAGGGCGCGGCTCCCCAAGTAGCGGCGATGCCCTCCGACCTACAAGCGATGGCCTCCAACCTACAAGCGATGGCCTCCATTTTCTGCATTTTCTGGACGGTACTGGCACCGCAGCTATTCGCGGGGGTGGCCAGAAACTCACTTTCACGAATCAGATCGTGATCGACTCTATGTCCATGCCACACGTATAGGTGGCCCGGCAGGAAACCAACAACTGCTCGATCGCCTTGAAGCGTTCTGGACTGATCCTGCAACATACGCAGTGTGCCCAGAAGGTCAAGATCCTGGACGAGGGGCGTGCGTACTCAGAAGACAGGGGTCGAGATTCACTTTTGTAGACTCGGATGAGCATCAGACGGAACCATTTGACCCTTGTCACAACTGCATGCGAACTGGCTGCTTGACGAGAAAACCATGTCCATGTTTTGTATCCCGAGGAAGGCTTAACGCCGCCATAGTTGGTGACAAGCACAAAATCAAGATACAAATATAGCCATGGGAGGAATCGTACCTCAGCAGAGGTGTCACAAAGGCCGATCGACCAACGAGAGAGGGGGCTCCAGGCTTCCCCTACTAGCTTATGTGTGGCTGTTTGTGGAAGTGCTGGGAGCGGGCCGATGGTGGCCTCTGTCAGCGTCAGCGGAGCCGGCACTTGTGGTGGGTCGTCGCCCCGCAGTGGCACTTCTTTCCGGATAGCAGCTTCACTAACTTGCAGCATCGTTGCGTGCACCTGGTTGCGGAGTGTTCTGGCAGCTTCGAGCGCTTGCACCGCGTGGTGCCAAGTGGTCACCAGTGTGTTTGGAAACCTACTACTCCACTCGGCAACATGGTCTGCGAGGTCGTTGCCTGTGAAGGCCCAAAGTTCTACCATGTCAGCTCCATGTTTCATTTGATGGCTTGCAATTTTATGAACAGTTACCATGTCCCGGGGAATGGATCCTGCCAAAGTGACTAGGAGCCGCCAAAGGTCTTGATCTTTCTGGCCGTACTTGCATTGATCAGGGTTCGTCAATGCATGTCGAAGTGTGTTCACGACGAGTGCATTGTCGCTCCACAGTCTCAGCGGGCCTCCTTGGCGCCACGCGTACTTGAGCGCACTGATGGCGGCCGTGATTTCGGCCCTCTGACTTGTCTGGATTCGGCCGGGAACTACTCCTTGCGCCAATGGGCTCCAGTGGTCTTGGTCTTGTGGGTTCGAGGCTACGATACCCCAACCTGCGAGGCGAGTGATCGAGCAGGTCGGGTTGATGCATGATCCATCAAGAAACAGGTCCACTGGTTGGAACGGCAAATGTTCGAACACGCCTGTGAGATCTGGCTGATCATACAGGGCTTGTTGGAGTGCATGGGCTTCTGGTGGCAAACCCATCCACCCATGATAGGTGAGGCATCTGGGGAGTCCTCCTTCACGGACCTTTTGTACTAGCCAAGGGTATGGTCTATCCTCCCGGAAATGGGCGCATTCCCAAAATCTGTGGAATTGTGAATCAGGTTGTCCACAGAATTTGCAGGTGAGCGTATGGGCTTTCCGGTTATGGAGTTGGGTATCAGCCGTGAAGAATGCGCCGTTCAAGACCTTACGTATGAGACCCAGTTTTGCCTGTGGCCATGAAGAGAGTTTTTCCATGGTGAAGGCCGCATTAGCCCATTCAATGCCTTGGAACGTTTTTCTTCGGCTGACACATCTTTGTACGAAGATTTGCCATCCCTCGAGGAGGCGCAAGCGAATCTCTGTGCTGGAGCCTTGCAAAAGATCTAATGGTCGGTTGAGGTGGTCGGCAACCCATCCCTGGCCAAGCCATTGCCAGCCTATTGCATGCAATCGTTCTAGAAGCACATGACACGGCCCCGGTCGATGACGGAGTTCTGACCAGTCGCGAAGGGCAGTCTCCATGATGAGGTTGACCTGGTCGTGGTTAGCATGCCTACGAAAGGTGTGCACGGTTTGCAACAACAGATTACAACCAGGGTCGGTCATGGGGTGCTCGATTAACGAAAGGTGCACTAGTGGGCTTATGCCCGGGGCATGGATCTTAAGGCCACGGCAAGCTCCTGTCCGGAGTGCTTGGAGGTGGCTGGGGCCTAGACTTGCTGACGTACCTGCCGAAAGTGCTTGTGGCCATCCTTTCACTCTTAGTGCATGGGTCTTCTGACGGTACGGGGCAGGCGATCGGGCCAGGGCGGTCCAAACCCTGGGCACGTCATT